AATACATCTTAATAGAAAAAAAAGGAAGTCTGTTACAGGTCTTATTGGACTGAATTTCTTTCTGGAAACTCTAAGAAAATCCATTTCTGTAGATTTTCCAGATTCTAGAGGCCTCCCACATTCTCTGGCACATGGCCTCTTTCTTCATCCTTAAAAGCCAGCAACATTGTATTTCTTTGATCATTATTTTATAGTCACACCTCCTTGTGACTTTCTTCTTTAGCCTGTTTCTTCCACTTTGAAGGACTCTTCTAATTACACCGAGTCCTATATAATTCAAGATAATGTCCCTGTTAAGGTCAGTGGATTAGCAACATTAATTTCATCTGCAATTTATTTCTCCTTTGCCATTCTTAGATTCCAGGCATTAGGAAGTGAACTACTTTGCGGGGGGTGGGAGTGGGAAGGGGGATTAATCTGCCAATAACAGAAATTGGTAAATACTACAAATCATAATTCTTCCTCCCAGAAAGCTGGTTGTTAAACATTTACCAGCACATCACTGCCACAAGTAATCACAAAAGAACATCAGCCAAAACTCTTACAAGAATTATAGGATTAAAGCAATTTACAGAATCCTAACAAAGTTGCTTTGTACCTTAAAATGTTTAAATACACTAACTAAAAAGGATAAATTACTCTTTGAGTAGTTTAAAACAAATTAAGTTTACCAAGTATCTTCACTTAGGATGAATTATTATGGAGTCGAAAATCTTATATAGCATTACTTCCTTTCTGGTAAGGAACAAATAGTAAAGTGCTATTATAAAGTACATAAGCTGTTGTCTTTTTTTTTTTAATTTTTTTTAAATTTATTTATGAGAGTCACACAGAGAGAGAGAGAGAGGCAGAGACACAGGCAGAGGGAGAAGCAGGCTCCATGCAGGAGCCCGACGTGGGACTCGATCCCAGGTCCCCAGGATTGCGCCCTGGGCCGAAGGCAGGCACTAAACCGCTGCGCCACCCAGGGACCCCAGCTGTTGTCTTTTAAGATTAAAAAAACAACAGCAGGGAAGAGACTTAAGGATTTTTTCCAGATGCTATTTGTCATTGATACAGTATCAAAGAATTCTTTAAGATCATGCATAGATTAACTCAGTATCATTTTCAACCTAGAAGAAATGACCTGCATATTAAGATTTTAATTCACTGAGTCATAATGCAAACCAGAGAAGGTGGAACATTATTATGGCATGCTATGTGGGTAGGCACTGCTTTAGCAAACCTATTGAGAAACATAAATCACATCACTTCTTAAGTCTTACAGCTCTGGTATAAAGGTGGCCCTTGTCCACATATTAAAATCAATTATATTTACAATAAAGGATCATTTGATCATTTTGTTGATAGTTGGAGAAGTTTTACTAAATAGTAATTTTCTTTAAGGTTTATATAATATAGCTTTTAGAAATTTCTCATTAACATTTCTCATGGAATGAGAGGAAGAAATAAACTCCAGGGTTTATAGTGATAATAGCTAACAATGTAAGTAATGATTATCCTGCCAGGAAATATACTGTTTCTTACATATATTATCTTATTTAATTCTAAAGACAACTCTATGAGACAAGTCTACAGAGATCAGAGAATGAACTCTTACATCAAAGTCCTTGGATTAAAATCCTGGTTCCACCACTTCCTAATCATGTTTGACCTTGGGCATATTTTTATGCCTTGTCAAAAAGGGGTGGGGGAGGAGTAATAAGTCTGCCATACAATGTTGTACCCATAATAAATTAACATATATAAGGAGCTTAGTGGTGCCTAGCTAAATAATGTTTTCTATTATTAGTTTCATCCTGTTATAAGATGCCCTCTTATAACCCTGTTTCATTACCCTACATAATCAAGAGAAGTGGAGAGTGCCTCCAAAAATGAATTCTACCAACCATCCCAGAAGAAAGGGAAAACTGATACAATGGGACATGTTAAAATGTAGTAAATGTGTATACAATTTTTATGTATAATATGTATTTTTTCTTTATTGCATTTCAATATTCATTAATATAAATGGTCTGTTTTGCTTAACACTAACTGGTGTTTGTTAAAATTAACAAGGTTCCTGGGGCACCTGGGTGGCTAAGTCAGTTAAGCATCTGCCATCAGCTGAGGTCATGATCCCAGAGCCCTGGTTTAGACCCCCACATTGGACTCTCTGCTCAGCAGGGAGCCTGCTTCTCCCTCTCCCTCTGCCTGAGGCTTCCCCTGCTTGTGTTCTCTATCAAATAAATAAGCTCTTAATACTGAGGTTCTTGAATGCCATATTGGGACATTTTTGAAAAAGCAATTACAAAATAGCATCTAACATATCCTCAACATCACAAAAAGTCTTAGACATATATTTTTTGTGAATTATTTTAACTGTGTTGAGCATGCACTGCTTCTAGAATTGGAAACAATAAAGCAAAAAAGGAAAATGGATAGTTTTGGCAATGACTATGGTATTGAGGACTCAAGGATTTTTTTTTATTTTTATTTTTTTAAATTTACTTTATTTTATTTATTTATGATGGGCACACAGTGAGAGAGAGAGAGAGAGAGGCAGAGACATAGGCAGAGGGAGAAGCAGGCTCCATGCACCGGGAGCCCGACGTGGGACTCGATCCCGGGTCTCCAGGATTGCGCCCTGGGCCAAAGGCAGGCGCTAAACCGCTGCGCCACCCAGGGATCCCTCAAGGATTTTTTTTAAATAAAAAAATGATATCTGGTTTTATTTGTGCCTATACTTATTTTCTTCATTCAGATTCATCTTGATTGCAGTGTGAAACAAAATAACCTTCAAACTCCAGAACAAACTGGATACTATTTTAGAACAAACATAATGCCCTAGTTGAAAAAATGCTCTAGTTTAAAAACCTATTAAAAATTATCAATTGAGGAAAAATCAACTGGGGTGGTAGTGAGGAAGCATAGCTCAGAGTGCTTTTGTAAAAGGTGTTTCACCATCTCCAATTCTGATTCTCTGCCTCTCTTAAGAGTCATCCGTATTCACTTTGCTTTGTTCCAGATGCTTACTGAACTGGCCCCTTTTGAAAAAAATCCATTTAACAAGTATTTATTAAACACCATCTATGTGCTAGGTACCACTGTAGGTGTTATGGATACAAAAGATGAAAATACTTGTCCATGGAGCTTAAATTTTAGTGAGGGGAGAAGTTTAAACAAATAAAACTAATTACATATTAAGACAGTAATAAATTAGAATAAAAGTGATGGTAAAGCAGGGTGCAAAATTTTGGACAGGGAAGGCCTCATTAAAAAGGTCAACATGAGAAAGACTAGAAAAAGTGAGAGCAAACCATGCCAATATTTGGGGAAGAGAATTCTAAACCAAAGATCAAATCCCCAAGGCAGAAATATGCACTGGTGTGGAAGATCAAGGAAATCCACTTGGTGGTGTGTGAGCACAGTAGAAAATAATGGAAAGTACAGGGAGAAAGTTGAAATATCTAGCTTTTGAATAAAATGGGAAGATGTTGGTGGGCTTTGGTAGGCTTTGAGGAAAGGTTTGTCATATCCTGACATATATTAAAGATTACTTAGGCTGCTGTGTTGCAATCCATAGACAGGGATATTAGAGTATTTTAATTAAGGTTAGCTGACAATGGCTTAGGACCAAGGTGATAGGGGAATTATATGTTGAAAACAAGGAGATTCTAGGTATATTTTGGAGGTAGAGGATACATGACTTATTGATACATCCAGGTATTAAAAAAAGTTAATGAAGACTGAGAATTTTGGCCTTAATTATGAGAATGGTGTTCCTATAAACTGGTATGATTGAAGACAGTGCAACTGAAGATTGTAGATGTGGAATCTGAGAGGTTCACAAATTGGACATGTTAAATTTAAGATGCCCATTAGACATCCACATAGAACGAGTGAATATAGACATATCCATACATAATACGTGTATATGTGTATATACATATATACAAATGGGAAAACATTTGGTCTCAAAAATTACCTAGGATATTCACATCATATTTGAAAATACGAGACTGGATGAAGACTGCAGATAATGAAAAGGTCCTAAGTTTTTTCTTTGGAGTATTCCAATATTAAAAGGCCACATAAAACAAAAAAAAAACAAAAAAATAAATAAAAAAACAAAAAAACAAAAAAATAAAAGCTCACAAAGTACACCAAGAAACTGATTAGAAAAGCCAATGATGTAAAAGGAAAAGAAAGTATGTTATTCTAGAGACTACAAGATGAAAATGTTTCAAGAGTCATGTCAACTGTTAGGTCAAAATGAGTACTGATCCTTGACTTTTGAATTTAGAAACATGGAGGTAGGTCACAGACGACCTTAACAAAAGCACTTTTTAGTGGACTAGTGAGGGTAAATCCTGATCAGGGTGAATTAATAAACTTGAAAGAAGTGAAATTCAGTGTGATTTTTGCTTGGCTTTCCCCCCCCCCCCCCCAAGTACATACTGGAAGCACATGCAAATTCTGAAAGCTGCAATTTATCAAATATACATAAATGCTAATCCAAGACATCAGTATTTAAATGATTTGTTTGGTGACTTCATTAAGAAACTGACAAAGCAGTGCTGTGTGATTAAATCAGTACAGTAAAAGCATAATGACTACTACCTCCATGAATTAGATGAGACTCAGATCCAAATACAATCCCTGATAAACTTGAAAATCTTCAGCACAGGGGTATGCCATGGTAAAAATCATTAACAACTAAACACGCTTCATCATTCAGTTGGAGAAATCCAAATGTTTCCATTTTACCAATGCCAGACACTTGAGTACTCTTCATGATCTTTGCATTTGCAAGTATAATTTCCAGTACCAGTTGTTAAATATACTCTAGTGAAGTTACCAATGTCCCATACAAAAAATGAAAAGTGTTTTGAGCAACTTAAAGTCTTATCTTCAAATTACACAAATGGATGGAAATTCAACAAATTCCTTAAATTCTAAGTTTATTTCCTATACTCTAAAGTTCAGAGCAAATTTTCAGCATTAAATAGTGACACATATCAAGTTTCAGATATTTATTATTCAGTGTAAACCCCAACACAATACACCAACATGATTTCGTGCATTTAGAGGGGAAATATTTCCTGGATAAGTGGAAAATTGTGCGGATGGCTTCTGGAAGACCTTCATTCTAAGCAGCTTTATAGTGAAACATTTCATTTAGAAGTCTGGACCTTCTTTCTTCAGTTTGCTGTAATCTACATTCACTGAGTAGAACTTGGAAAAGAAAAAAGATATTTTAGATAATCTATCAAATACAGAGAGATGGTACAGAAGTTTTAGAATTTTTTTATTCAGCTTTCTATAGTAACAATTACGGGCATGAATTTTTTATTATGGATATTTAACAACATAAAAATCATCCAAAGAAAGATGCCAAAATTCCAGTCCTTTAATAAATGACTTTGTTAAGGTAAAAATATTCAATCTATCTCAGAAGAAGTTAGTATGTTCCTTCAATTTCCTAAGCCAGACTGCATCGATATCAAACTAATATCTATTTCTGGTAGAGAAGTTTTTAAATACTACTGTATTTTTGCTTCTAAATAATATCATGTTTAAACATTAATGCATGGAAACTTGTAATTTCTAAAAATTTCCTTATATTCAACTAAAATTGATATGAGAAATAAATCTATGACTGCTTTAGAAAAACACTGCCTCAAACTCTTGATAGCTGTTTTTTTTAATGATCTATATTTGAAACATCTCCAAAGTTACTACTGAGAAAACATCAGGATTTATACATAAGCCCAAATAAGGCTATACTCTTGGGTTTACTCATTCTTGTGCCAAAAAACACTGAAGAGGTTGTGATATAATTACTTGAAGACCACATTATTTTTACTCCAAAAGAATTAAAACATCAACATTTTCTTCAGGGTTTTTAAAAAGGTCATAAATCTGTATCTATTATTTCTTCAAACTCTTTATTTTTCCAAATATGCCCTAATTTCTTTGCCTCTAACTGAAAAATTCTTAAGTTTTTATAAAAAGAAACATTACCAAGTTTTAAAGCCTATCTTTGAGATACACACAAAGATGCATAGACAGAGAAGTACAAATAAGCCATAAAGCAACAATCTTTGTTCTGACATTGTTCTTATGAAGCAACTGAACCTAAACAACCAGATTTTTAAAAAGAAACTAATTGCTCTACCTTAACATGTTAACAAAATTAGAGGAAATATTCAAAGAACTACAGGCTATATATTAAGAACATAAACACCGATTAGGTTCTTCTAATGGATGCCAGACAATGTGGGCACAATGCTTTGTTTTCTTAATTATCACAGCCTTTATCAATCTCACTAGTGGTATAGATGAGGCAATTGAAGATCAAGTTACAAGACTCACCAAACACTGAATGAGAAGCAGGATCAAGCCCTTAACACTCGTGCAGAGTGGAAAGGTCACAGTATCTTTGCCGATTTTCTCAAAACTAAGCAAGCTTCTGATCAATTTGCTTCTATTAGGTTCCATGTCCCTGTATCAAAATTCTCTCTTGAAGTAACGAAGTAATTTTCAAATCTGTTTTATTTCACCTTCTATGACCCTTTTCTTTTTCTCAATTTAATGGTGACTACCTGGAAGGTCTCTGGAACAGTAGCTGGGAATGAACACATATTCTGATAATGGCTTTGGGACATTTTATTTCATTGAGTGTGTTGCTGAGTTTATGTTTAATAAATCTTATTTTATTTCTTATTTTAATGTTTAAATCTTATTTTAGTTCTTTTGTTTGTCTTAACTTTGGCTAGATTTGCCAAAACCTAGTGGTTTACAACAAAGGCTTGTTTTTCACTCACATTATAAGCCATTTGGAAGCATGTTCTCTTCATTGCAATTCTGGGTTGAATAACACTCAACTGTCCATTTTGGTTTCAGGACAGATAAAGAACAATGCGGGAACCACACACTGGTTCAGAAGTGGCAGATATCATTTCCTCTCACTTAGGATTCTCCAGATTTAAGTGATGTGGCCAAAAACAAGTCTCTTAAGTGAGCCACAGTGAATGTGGAAAATACCTCACTGTTTAGGTTTAGAAGCAGTAGCAAGCTTCATTCACCCTAGGCTCACAAGTTTTTGGACTGGGTTCCCTTTTGTTTCTGCTTACAAATCACCCAATTCTTCTCTAAGTTCAGCTCTTGGCAAATACAGCAAATAATAGTCCACTAACATCCTGTTTTTCTACAACAAGCTCTTTAGACACATGTCCACCTTACAAGTTACAACAGGTGATATTTTATCAAATATTTTGCCATTATATGACTCATCTTTCCAGTATCTAAATCAATGTCATAGCTACTTATCCCATCCATGCCACACAAATTAGATTTCTGTTGCAGCAACATTCCATTTCCAGTTCATATGTCCTCATAGTGGCATGTGTTATCATAGTGCCAGGGAATTGTTAATTGCCTTTATTATCAGAATCACCTAGGGAGCTTTTTGAACTATACCTACCCAGAGATTCCAATACACAATTTGTTGGAAGAACCAATGCCTGTTTTTTTTTTTTTTCCTCTTTTTAAAAGTTCATTGGATGTGAAATCATTTTCTCTAGAATGTACTTAAGTAAACTTAGAGGAAAAATAAGTCAGGATGCTCATTTATCAATTTATCATTTTTTTCAAGTTAAAACGTAATACACAGGTAAGATGGCCCAGTAAACTTCACCAGTGCTTTTTTATTTGTTTCTTGTAGAGAGATCCATTTACGAATCTGGGAGCCAAATTATGATCAGACAATTAAGTGGAAAGCTTGGAATCAGCCACAGGCAATAACCTCTTAAAAGTTGCTCTCATCAATAATGATAGCATGCATCTCCATCATGGGTGTAGATCTGCTAAATGGTCCTGGACACTCATTGGTCAGAGCACCTCTCCTTAAAAGTATTTAACCAAACGCTATTTCTCGTTTGATGAAGCAGCTTAGTACACTTTCCAGTGTACGTAGTGAGTTATATACTTTAAATAAGTAAACTGCATTGAATGTGAATTATACTCTAATATAAACTGCCTTGGTTTTAATATCTTCAGAGTTTGTCTTCGCATGCAGAATTTTTACACATAAAGAAGCTTATGTTTAGGGTCTTAGACTTGTGACAACATGGATGAGCTTTAAGAGTATTATGCTAAGTAAGATACATCACACAGAGAAAGACAAATACTGCATGATACAACGTTTATGTCAAATCTAAAAAAGCTGAACTTGTAAAAGTAGAATGGTGGTTACCAGGGGCTGGGGGCAGGGGAATTGAGATGTTAAGGTACAAACTCACAACTAGTAAATAAATCCTGGAGATCTAATACACAACACAGGACTTACGGTCAACAATATTGTATTATAAACTTCAAAGCTGCTAAGACACTAGGTCTTAATTGCTCTCAACACGCAAAAATATTATGTGACACGATAAAAGTGTTAGGCAATGCTAACACAATAATCATACTGCAATATATAAATTTATCAAACCAACACCTTATATGCTTTAAACTTATGTTAATTTTATATGCCAATTGTATCTCAATAAAGTACATAAATGGTCTCAGTCCATAAACTCATTCTGTTAAACTGCAGTTCCACAAACCACTTTTAAGGAAAGATGTCAGTTTATTTAGAAGGTTCATCGTAAAATTTAAATTTCAACTGAATTTCATTTCTTCCTAATTACTCTCAGCGGAAATATTTCAATCATACCAACAAGAAAGAAAAGGCAATCAAACTATCCACTGCAATAGTGCTACTCAAAGTGTGGTCCACTGACCAGCAGCATCAGCATCACCTAAAACCTTGTTAGAAATGCAAATTCTTAGTCTTCACAACAGATCAACTAAATCAGAATCTCTGGGGATGGAGTTTAACAATGTGTTTTAACCACCTCTCCAGCTGAGACCTATGTACATTGAAGTTTGAAAACCACTGCACTAGATGATGATTCAAGATCTAAGAAAACGTCATACGATAGCTATTCCATCTCCCTTTTTACTTAGTCAAATCATGAACACGTTAACTTAATTTCACATCCAGAAACTAAAGTCTATGAATAAAATCCCTAGAAAAACTTATTTGCTAGGGAAATAGGCTTTAATTTCATAGAACAATCCAGCAGTTCCTCCAAAGTTCATTATAATGGAATTTTACATGTACATCCAGTTTCAAAAAAAAACCTACTTCCTGAGTATTAACACACTTTCACAGAATTCTGAAATAATTTTGTAGCTTACCTTGTATTGATCATTGGGACCCAGTTTGTTCCAAGGTTCTGGGTTATTCTTCCTATCCCAACTAAAAGGAACAAACATTACAATTGTTATAGTAATAAAAACACTACTTAAAATAGTTTTGTACTTCCTAAGAAGCTAGTGTTTGGAATACAGCTCATTTTCTATTAGATTAAGTATGGTGTGTTTTCATTAGAGTTGAAATAGAGATAGGCTCTATAATTAGCAGTTCCATATAATCAATTAGAAAAAAGGGTAGAACAGAAGGCCTCTGGGGCAGTGTATTTGTCCCTATCTTTATCACAGAAAACTTTAAACTTGGCTTTTACTAAAAAGGTGATGTACAGAAAAGCACATAGAGTAACGATACATTTTTTGTTGCCTGTTGTTCTCTAACTTCAAAAACAAGCATTCCTTATTGAGGAAAAGCAGACAAAAACCATTTACATTTATCAGAAATCCTGATTAAGCATTTTATAAAAACAATGGTCTCAATTCTCACAAGATTCCAAATAGATATTAGCATTTCTACTCTCCCCATGAGAAAAATGAGACTCAGGGAAATTTAGACAATTTTATGAACTGGAAGAGTAAATGATAACAGCAGGACCAGGATCCGAACTTCCTATATGACTACAAAACTTTAGGCTCTTTCAACTACATGACGTTGCCTCCCTAAAGGCTGTGGCTCCTAAAACACCTCCAAACCATCATCATTCTAAATATTTTTAAGTACTTACCTAACATCTGGATTGAACAATGCCAAGCGCAACACATACAGTGCTGCTCCAGTACCTCCTGCCCCAATAAATATGAAGAGGGGGATCAACTAGAAACAAACACAAAATACAGAAGAATTAACAACCAGCTTCAAATACCTAGATACTGAAAAAAGAAAGGCTACAATAGTTCCTACACACTAATTCTGAAGTCTCAAACAGCTGTTTTATGGTCTTGTTTTAAAATGTGAATAAAGGTAGACCTCTTATCGAGGCAAGATTTCTTATACCCGTGTTCAAAAGAAACAGAATTTCTGAAAGACGTGAAGATGAACTTTCAACGTGGAAAAAGTCACATTCAAACTCCTAAATTTCCAAGAAATCACAGCATGTCCTCTTCACCTCTCTAATATTTATACATTATTTCCATTAAATTTCCCAGCTTCCTTTATCTCGAGGCTTGTAAAACAACTTCTTGGCCTGCCTTATAAATAAGTGTCATGAAAAAACGCGAGTTCTGGGACGCCTGGGTTGCTCAGAGGTTGAGCGTCTGCCTTTGGCTCAGGGGGTGATCTGATCCCGGGGTCCAGGACCGAGTCCCGCATCAGGCTCCTTGTGGGGAGGCTGCTTCTCTTCTCTCTGCCTGTGTCTCTGCCTCTCTCTCTCTCTCTCATCTCAATCTAATAAATGAATAAATAAATAAATAAATAATTAATCTCAAAAAAAAAAAAAGAAAAAAGAAAAACATGAGTTCTGTGAAATAAAGAGTTTGAATGAACAAACAGGCATATGTGTCACAAAGATTGGTTACATGCTTAAGTCTCTGAGAACATACTGCTAACCATGCTCAATAAGTACACCGTGGGCTTAAGACAGAGGCTTCGTATTTGAGTTTTAGGACCCCTAAACGTAAATGCTGGAGAGAACACTGAAATGCTCAAGAACTTAAAGGCGGGCCTCCTCTGCGCTACCGAACCCCACCCCCACCCCCACCCCCACATGTCAGGACGTCAAGACAAATTGAGGATCCCATTCCAAGACCGCAGACCTTTATTTGCCACCCGGCCTGGTGGTGCAATGCAGTAAGCACCAGCTCTTGGAGATGGCGTAACAGGTAGGACACCTGACCTGCTTGCTGGTCTCAACCCACACAGCGCACAGCTATCCCTGGGTCCGACGCACAGACCAGAGAGTGCGATCCCCAGAGGGTTCCAACACTCGCCCGTTTATTTTCCTTGAAGGTTCCCTCACCTTCCGCCTACCAGCCCAAACCCCTCAATGCGTCGCGTGGAAGGTCAGAGCTCGAGGGCCCGGGGCACCTGGGATCCGGCCTCGAGGAACAATCAACGACGGTGGAGGAGGAAGAGGAAGCCCCCAGGGAACTGAGGAAGCCGCAGCTGACAGAATGGACGACTGAAGACACTGGGGAGGGGGCCCGAACTTACGCTCGGATGCTTCCTGGCCTGACCGATGATCTGGCGTAACATGGTTGCGGCACAGGCCTCCCGCGCGGGACAAGGAAAGACCGAGTTGCCGCAAGGCCCGGAACTCAGAACTGCCTCGACAGAGGAGGAACGGACGTCCAAAGTCACCCAGGACCTCCTACCTGAAGGCCCCCTGGCTCGGAGGGCGGCTCGCGGCGGGAGGGCCCGGATGCGGCTGTCCTTGACAGTGCCTGCTTTGACCCGGCGCCTCATGCGTCTGCTCTAACCTGGCCAGACCCTCAGCGTTCCAGGCCCGAGCGCAGCATGCTCATTCCTGCGCTACAGATGCTGCTGACCAGGTGACTGCTGCGCCGAAGCTAGAACGCTTTGACTGACCAGACAGGCACTTTCTCGGAAACACACGCGTTGAGACATGGGGTGGGCGGGGTCTTCTTGGGAGGTCCCCGGCCAGCCGGTCCGCGCGCTAAGGCGCTGGGGGCGCGCGTGCCGGCCGCGCGCCTGAGGGCCCTGACGGGCGCTGAGGGAGCTGCGCGGCGCCTGCGGCTGCTGGGCGTCAGGCCCCTGGGGAGCCGGCCGGGTCTCTCGCTGCTAAGGTCAGCCCCTGCGGTTTAAGAAGACTGCAGCTGCTTCCTGTCTCCCACTGTCGCTTCTTACGGGCAGAAGTGAAAAACTAGTAAATGACTTGAAGACGGCAGCAGCCCTCTCAGACGTGTTCTCTAAATCCCCAGGTCCTGGCTCTGGATTGAATGTTCAGTGGCATACCCCTATGCCCTGTCCCAGGACCCTAAACGGCATCCTTAAAATGTGTTCTGAGTGGTCCTGTTCCCACACATATCTTTTCTAGTACTCTAACACAGTTTTCATTTATTTCTTGTTGTTGTTGTTGATTTTTTTTTTTTTTTAAGATTTATTCACGAGAGACACAGAAAGAGGCGCCGAGACGTTGGCAGAGGGAGAAGCAGGCTTTTCGCAGGTGCCCGATGGAGGGACTTGATCTGGTGACCCGGGATCACACCCTGAGAGAGAGAGGCAGAGACACAGGTAGAGCGAGGAGCAGGCTCCATGCAGGGAGCCCGACGTGGGACTCCATCCCTGGTCTCCAGGATCACGCCCTGAGCCAGGGGCAGATGCTCAACCGCTGAGCCACCCAGGTGTCCCTCTGTTGTGGTTGTTTTTTTTATTCTGAAAGTCGTAACATGGGACAGACAGGCTTTCGTGGTAGCATGGGGGACAATCTGAACCCTCTCGAATCTATGTAGTTGACAAACTAGTGGTAGTGTGACAGTCTGAAACTGAAGATACCCTTTTGAAGAGGTGTTGGAGGGTCTGGTATGGTTGGGACTTGAAGAGGGAGAACAGGGTGGGGGATCAGATCTGCTGGTCCAGTGACCACTTTCACATCAAGGGTTTTATGCTGAGAGCACTGGAAAGTTATGGAAAAAAAAAAGAAAGAAAAAAGAAAAGTTGCTGTGACTGTAAATGTTTGCTCTATGTATGAAGAATGGATCAGAGGACATAAGCATGAAAGGGGAGAGACTGGTCAGGGCCACCGCAGTGGTCCTTGAGAGGGATAATAGTAGCTTGGACCACTGTGGGCAACGTGATGATGTAAAAAGGATTACAGAGATTGGTTGAATGGGAGAAAGTGAGGAGAAGCAGCCCAGGATAATTTCAGAGGTTGTTTTGGCCTGCTGTTTTTATGTAGATGTCAATTACTGAGATGAGAAGCAATAGAGAATGATGGATATGTATCTATGTAAAATACAAGTATATTGGGATTCCTGGGTGGCTCAGCGGTTGAGCATCTGCCCCTGGCCCAGGGTGTGATCCTGGAGACCCGGGATCAAGTCCCACGTCGGGCTCCCTGCACAGAGCCTGCTTCTCCCTCTGCCTGTCTCTCTTTCTCTCTTTCTCTCTCTCTCTGTCATGAATAAATAAATAAATATCTTTAAAATAAAAATATAAGTATATATCTCTGTAGGGCAGACGAGAGATCTAGATTAGAAAAATATATTTAGATCTCTGCTTATTGATGAGAAATGAAGGCATATGACTGAATGAGACTACTTAGGAAGAGAAGGTAGAAGGTAGTAAGAGAGACAAAGGACATGGAGGTGAGGAATTCCAACGTGTGATGTTTGGGAGAGGAGATAAGGCCAGCAAAAAAAAAAAAAAAAAAAAAAACCACGCAAAAAAGATAAATGGCAATTATTAAGATGATACGTATGAAGTTTAGGAAGACTTGGGTCTTGAATTCATTAAGTCTGGCATGAAGTGCCTACTCAGCACCAAGCACTGTTCTAACTTGGGAGGAAACAGTGAATGCAAACATTGTTCTATCCTCATGGGGATTACAGGAGAGTTAGGAAGACAAACCATAAATAATTAAGATAAATTTAGATGGTGGGACACTGGGGTGGCTCAGCGGTTAAACATCTGCCTTTGGCCCAGGGCCTGATCCTGGAGTCCCAGGACTGAGTCCCACATCGGGCTCCCTGCATGGAGCCTGCTTCTCCCTTTGCCTGTGTCTCTGCCTCTCTCTCTCTCTCTGTCCCTCATGAACAAATAAATAAAATCTTAAAAAAAAAAAAAAAGACAACCTTAGATGGTGATAAACCAATAAAATATGACAAGAGAGAAGGACATGCAGGAGTAGAGGAAAGTAGGTTACTTAAGTGAGAATAGACAAGGAAGTTCCTTCTGAGGTAGTGATCATTACCTATCATATTATTGTATTTAGATATTATGGCTAAATTTCCAAATATCTAATTAATATCGAATATCTAAATAAATAAAGTTACCACACTTAAATAAGGAGGTAACCTGGTGACAATATGGTTGAAGAATGTTCCAATTCTCAAGAGAAATTGTTTTGAGATTAAAAAATAAAAGAAAATCCAAGAACAGTGTGGCAAGCCACATCAAAGAGGAGAAGAAAATGAGGTCAAAGAGGTTGTAAAGGACTCTGACATTAACTCTATAGATGATGATGAGGAGGAATGTGGCTCTATTTTTAGAAATCACAAAAATCATGGAAAATACTTAAACACAGAAACCTAATAGCAGTGAATGTAGGTGGATTTTCAGCAAAGAAATTAGGAGGAAGACTTCTTGTAATATTTTTATTTTTGATGATAACAGGTGATAATAAAATAAGTATATAGGTGTACAGGAATGGCATACTTTTTGGGAATTGACCTAGTTTCTAGCAGTAACAGTAATATAGGTAGTCCATTTATGCCTTTGGGGAACCCTAACAAAGCAGGGTTCCAGAATATAAATTTCATTAAATATTTTGAATATTAACCAAAATGTCAAATTATAAAACATTGAATTACGCATATTAAAGTTAGGAGAAAGAGTCTGTGACCTATATTTTAGGCAGGGATTGGAAGAATAGAAGAGGCAATCAAGGAAAAGAAGTCATAATAGAAGATACATATTGTAAAAATACATTTTAGCAGGCAGTGGTTTAGCACCATCTTCGGCCTAGGGCATGATCCTGGAGACCTGGAATCAAGTCCCATGTCAGGCTCCCTGCAGAGCCTGTTTCTCCCTCTGCCTCTGTCTGTGTCTCTCATGAATAAATAAATAAAAATTTTTAAAAACTACATTTTAGCTTTAGAAGTAGTTTTGGTATGTGTGGTAGATTATATTATATACAAATACCTGTTGCCTATTCCTAGAGGGGGATATTATTCATTTGCCTCCAGGTCAGGCTTGATTGATAAGATGACTTGCTCTACTAGCAAATGAGATGTGAAACATAACTTGTGTCATGCACAAACAGAAGCTTTAAGAGCCAGTATGTGCCATGTTCTTTCTTTACTCTTTGCCACAAGATCAGCAACGTTGTGGATAGAGGTTTGGGTGTCAGGGTGAAACTTACTTTGAGCAAAGACATTGCTGACCTATAATGAATGTATATTGAGAATGAGAAATAAACCTTTATTGCTGCAAGTCACCAAATTTAAGATTATTTTGTTACTGTAGCCTAATTTAGCCTACTAAATAAAGAATTTGGCACTGAAAGTGTTTTGGTATATAATAAAAATCCTAAAATATCTAGTATTGGATTCAGGTTCCAACAACAAGTAACAAGGTAACTGTTACAGGAAGCTGGAAGGATAGCAATTATGTTATACTGTGCTGCAACATTTGATGAAATTGTTCGCAATTAATTGGAAGGCAGTTAATGTCTCTCATAAATTCATAGGTTTCAGTGAAATGGTAGGCAAAGGGTATGTTAGAGGGATGTGTCCATTACTATTGGCAACAGTTGACAAGGTAATACAATAAAGAGATGGGCTCAGGAAATAATTGGTCAGCTTACAAGCTTCAATGACAGAGAATGGAGCATCTAGAAATTTAGAGACTTGCAGAGTTAGAAAATCTGGCTGATACTTATCTTCAGCTGTATAAGATAAAACTAAGACTGATGTTTAGTCAAAAAGGTCAATTAAAATCTCAAGATAATGACCCAATCAAGAATGTAGCCATCACACCTTTATTCAAACATCTCAATAAACTAAGGTGTGTCAGTAAATTCTCTCAACTGAACAACTTGAAATTCTGGACAAAGAGATAAGGGTGTAGCTCTCTCACCAAAGCCTGACAGGATCAAAGTGATGGAAATTAAACCTAAAGAAAGGAGGTGTGACTAAAAATAAATGTGAGTATAGCCACTGTTATCAAATAAAAGAGAAATAGACAAAGTACTGTTTTATTATTTTATAAAAAAGTATTTTATTATTTATTCATGAGAGACACAGAGAGAGAGGCAGAGACACAGGCAGAAGGAGAAGCAGGCTCCACGCAGGGAGCCCAACATGGGACTTGATCCCTGGTCTACAGGATCAGGCCCTGGGATGAAGGCAACGCCAAACCGCTGAGCCACTGGGGGGCCCTCTAATGTCTCCTTTAGATGCTACTAAGGCAAAGCTTCCTAAAGGGTGAGACAGGAGCCACAGAGAAGAGTAGACTGGAACTAACCTCCAAACTGCAAAATCAGGACCTACTCAAGGAATATTCCACACTTTCAGTCAATAGCAACTTCTGCTTTGTGAGATTTCAGGACCAGGGTGTGCCTCCCATTCTTTCTTTTTTTTTAATAGGATCACTCATGGTGGTTATACAGCCCCTGTTCCACCATTGTATTT